GACTCGAGTCGCAATTTTTGTGACTTGACTTGTTAAAGAGACTGATGACTTGTGACTTTACTTGGACAAAATGACTTGTGACTTGCAAGAAATGACTTGTTACCAACGCAAGTCAAACAATATCTAGTGAAAATCAAGTTTTCCAAAATCTTTGTGTTGATCGATCGATCGTCGTGTTGTACAATTTGGGCAACGACCTTAGTACATATCAATGGCATCGACAGAATTTGTGCCGGCGTATTTTCTGATAAAGCGGGGTTTTTTTCGCGATTTCGTGGTAAAATTTCTGACATAAAATAACGACGCCATATTTACATATTTTGCCGTTTTGCGTGGGAAAACATGGCCACATGTGGCGATAAAATGACTTGTGAATTGACTTGCCACTCGGAATGACTTGTGACTTGACTTGGATTTAGACAAAATGACTTGAACTCTTATCTCATACCTAGCGTATTAGCGGCTTTCCTATTGGCTACGAGGAGGTGCGTTCAATCTCGAACCCACCTGCTGACGTATGTTTAGGAGGGGGGTTCGAGATCGATGTTTCGGCGGCGGCCATTATATGAAGCGATTTGAACAAATTTCAGACGAAGATTTAAATAAAAAATAAATTAACTGTTTTTAATTGTTTTATAATTATTATTTTTTTATTTTGTTTGATAAAAATGGAATATTCTGTATTCAAAGTGGAAGAGAAGAAAGATGGCCGCCGAAATTTGCTCGGCACGGGCAGGTAGGTTTATATAAATCTTGGCATTGTTTTCGCAGAATGTGTTCATTTTCTCTTTTGAAGAATGAAGGAGTATTGTAGAGAATATTTTTAGCTTTAATTTAAGCCTAAGTTTGTTTGTCTGCGTAGTATGTTGGCGGCTAAAACGTTCGTTATGCATGAGTCAATTCCAGGAGTAACCCCCCCCCCCCGGGAACACACCCGGGAATTTGATTAGATTGGTTATGACAGTGTAAATGCCCGGGTGCCGGGACACAACTTGAAGACTAATGCACGGCCCCAGGGCAAGCTGAGAGTGGAAAATGCCCCACCCCGGGGACGATTTTACAGTCGATTGCACGAAACTTTGACCACAAATGTTCCGAATTTCGTTGCGAAGTTCGCAAGTTCGTTGTGAAGTTCGGAAGCTCATATTGGAATTCACAAGCCAATTTGTAAACAAAGTCCCTGATTGATCCGTGAAGTAAAAGAAGCCAATCAAATGCGTAGTTTACGAACTGGTTTGTGAATCTCATTATGAACTTTTGAACTTCGCAATAATCTTGTGAACTTCGCAACGAAGTTCGGAAATTTTGTGGTCAAAGTTTCGTGAAATCGACTGTAAACGTTAATTAAACTTTTAAAGGCATATAATCATAGTCATTTAATAACATTATAGTATTAAACTGCTATGGAATATTATAAAACATAAACCTTTAGTAGTTGTGTTTAAATTTGCATGGCAGAGGGTATAATTTTCTTATAATTACAATAAATTTCACGCCACCTTGACCACGAGGGCGCAAACCACGATCAGCGCGCCCACATGCTTGCCTGAAACTAGGTTTTGCTGCCTTAAAATTTGTGGGTGGGATTCTGGGCAACCATTTGTCAAATCCCCGGGGTCCTCCAATACCCGGCCCCCGTGCACATATATGAAAGGCAAATTCCCGACCCCCGTGAACTGTCTATCGGGCAAATGCCCGGGGGTGTCCCGGGGGGGGGATGGTTACTCCAGGAATTGACTCATGCATTATCCAAACACGAAATTATATACTATTAAAAAAGTAAAATGCGTATAAAATTCTTCAGTACTTTTTAGTAATTTACCGAAATGGCATGTGATAAAAACCAAACATACTTGCAGGTTCGGTGAGTCCGGGATTGGACGCACCTCGGGTTGCTGGAAGTTTCCCGAACTCGCCTCGCTTCGGCAAACTTCCAGCCACCCTCGGTGCGTCCAATCCCGGACTCACCTCCCTGCAAGTATGTTTGTTATAAGACCAAATGACTTGTGACTTGGACTTGCAGGAAATGACTCTTGACTTGACTTGCAACATAGGACTCGTTAACAACTCTGCTAGCTATCAAGCTGGTCAAAATAACAGCACTGGACTGTTGGTTATTTAATTTTGCCATGTTTCTATTTTATTTTATTTTATTTATTTATTTTATTTTACAAGATTCGCCAAACATAACAGACATAAATAAGACTAATACTTTACAAAATTTACATACAATTCGGGCAGGGACTAGCCACAGAGATAATCTCCAATTATGGGGCCCCTCACAATAAGTTACAATATATAACATTAAAACAAATTATGCTAAAATGTCAACATGTCCTCACTAATAAACTATCAAGAGACCGAGTTGAGTGGCATTTGACGCACACTGACTTAAATGTTCTAGGATTGTCCGGGTTGTATATTTGTTCTAAAAGGTTTAAGTAGTAATTGAATAAAGAGATTTTAAAGTAAGCTAATGATCTTGAAGTGTCACGAATATTGCTAGGGAGAATGTTCCATACGCTAGGCGCTCTCACATAGAAATTGTTCTTGTAGCTAACTGTCCTGCATCGAGATACATTAAGAATACCATTGACAGGGTCAGCGTTTCTAGTCGTCCGGGTGGTTGTTCATATTGACACATTGACATCGTTGCTTAGAATACTCTTGTAAAGAAAAACTAAGTCTAGAAATTCGTGCCAATAGCAGACTGGGAGAATACCGATAACCAGTAGTCGTTCCCTGTATGTTGTGGCTGTTCTGTAAGGAAGGGAAAGGATGAATTTGGTCGCGCGACGTTGAACCCGTTCTATTGACAGTATGTCGCTGACAGTTTGAGGTGCCCACACTTGGCTGGCATATCCTAACTTGCTGCGCACTAAGGACAGGTACAACACCTTTCGCACGTGGATGTTATGCGTGTCGGAGGCTGTTCGACGAATGAAGCCTAGCATTGAGCTCGCTTTTGATGTTATTTCTTCAACCTGTTTCGTCCACTTGAGATCTTTTGTGACAACAATCCCAAGGTCTTTTTGATGACATAGTTGCTTCAGAGAACTATCCAGTAGTTTATAATTTGTTTATAATTTTGTACCTACATGTCTGTCTATTAGAGTGCAGTAGAAGTTTGTAATATCATTAGTCCTTTTCTCCTCACAGATTCATGTCAGAATTATGCAAATTCATTCTTCCTTGAGACAAGTTAAAATAAGAATATAAACCTATGAAGTTTGAGACGCTCTCTGGTCGAATATATTTATTTAAAAAACGAGCTTCGGCTGCCAATCTGCAGCCTTCAACGGGTTAACACTAATGTTAGCTGCCGAAAGCTCGTTTTTTAAATAAATACTAGTATTTGAACAGAGAACGTCTCAAACTTCATTATGTTTAATCCTGGTCGCGCTTCTAGTATCTTTTTCATTTAAAAATGCTTACCCAAACATCACACAAAATTGAGAGAAATGTCTTAAAAACAACACAATGCTTATACTATGCTGTGATGCAGGGCTTTTACAAGTGAGTCATGCATTGTCCACTTTTTCATTTTAGACTGGCCGAGACCATATTTTTTCTCTACCTCGAGCCCTGCTTATCGATATCGGGGAATATATTCAATATTACTCTCTAATCAATTCCCCTCTAATATTCACCTGTAATGTCTTTGCAGCACAAAAAATGAGAAAACTGAACATGTAGGCAATAAGATTATAATTCTTTCTATTCTGACTCATTAACGCAATTCCGATTTTCGAATACCGGTGTGCGAGAAAATATTCGAGCACCAGTAGGCGATACGGTGGGTCACCATATAACGTAGCACTTTTCTTAATTTTTGCCCGAAATACAAGTACTGTGAGGACAAATTTAACAAATAAACGTAGTGCTCAGAATGCAGGAAATGGCATTTCCAGGCTTCACATTTCAAATATTTTCTAGGGGAGAATGCCCCCGGACCCCCTCTGGAAAACCTCCACCTCCTAAATAAATCAGACGGGATCCGTCCCTGAGTTATGACTGATATGACATTCAACAATACAATTTATGACGAGGAACATTTGATTGTGGGAGTAGTACTCAACCCATACAATGGTCTCCCTTGACAAGTAAAATTGTCTGACATTAGACAGAGTAAATTATAAGGTCAGGCGTATTTGGGTGCTTTGCAGCATATTGGGTTACATGAAAAATATAGCTATAGGACAATACTCAATCCAAATCACACATACTGTATATGTTTTAAATATGTCATACAATGTGTTCCAGTTTGTAGAAGTAACCTATACGTAAATTACATCGTCAGATCGTCTTCAAAAACTTGTTGAACTGTACAGTAAGATGACATTCAGTTCAATTCCAAATTAATACAAAATTTACAAAGAGATATTCTTGCTGTTTTATCAATCCCAGTCATTCATTTCATGGTTTGTTGTAGTTGAATCTTGAAGTTGGAAAAGATACGGAAACTTTGGCATGTACTTCGTGATTAATTTGTTGTACAACTCGGAATCTGTGAAAATAAAAGAAAATTAACAGAGTTTTGGTAACCAGTGCCTGTCAATAGTTGTACTCTTTTCAATCCCAAAGGTCACACACAACCTTTAACCTTAATGAGTATAGGCAGAGTAAAATAACAAATTATTTACATCAATCAACAAGACATACAAGCTTTCAGATAATTTGCCAACACAAAACCCTTGATGGGTTAAATCATTGGACTTAAATGTTAGACAAAGCAAAATAACGAAGTAAGTTGTGGGGTTAGGATAAAACGCGGATACGAACGGACGGATGGATGGCGGACGGATGGCTTCCAAAAAACGTTGGGATAAGGATATGGTCCAAAAAACGTTTTTCAGCCCTTTTTAAGTCATATGCGGATATAAAACGCGGATAACAGAGAAAATTAAGCACGAAAGTTGTAATTACTCGCTGGGGCACTCTGTGCCCCAGACGAGTATAGGTTTCGGCATGCATTTGTCACGGATCTCAGATAGTGGATAGTGGATCTCCAATCGTCGATAGCCACAAAATAGAATATTAATGAGCTGCCTAATTTTCCCCCCAATTATCCATAAGACTCCTGCCAATTTTACCCAAATTATCCATAAATAACCCTGCATTTTGAGGAAAATTTGGGAAAATTGAACAATTTTACAAGGAATTTCGCACGAAAATTAATATATTTTGAGAAGAAAGCGACAACGTTCGATTCAGCGTAAGAAATTGTACTCACGGATGTCAAATGTATTACTAAACAGCAGTATTCTAGCGATTTATGGCCTTTGAAAATCAAGCGAAATTGGTCAAATTGTATAAATGTTGACAAGTCACTCACACTACCTTTGTCCTTGTATTTGTAATGCCTCATGGCGCAATATAAAACGATAAAAATATCACCGTTCGATTCAGGGTAAGAAATTGTACTAAACAATAGTATTCTAGCGATTTATGGTCTTTGTCTTTGAAAGACAAGCGAAATCGTATTGTTAACAAATCGCTCATACGGATGTCAAATGTATTACTAAACAACAGTAATCTAGCGATTTATGGCTTTGTCTTTGAAAGCCAAGCGAAATTGTATTGTTGATAATTTTGGTATCATTGGTTTTCCCTTTTTCGGCCGTATACCAGTGGATCCGTCTTACCTCTCTCTTCATTTTGACAGTATTTTGAGCCAAAAAGCCCCCAAATAAGAAATTAGTTTATTTTGAACGTTTTAATAAAGCGCAGTGAGCAGCCTAGCGTACGGACCAACTAGTGGCGGCTATGTAGCGTACTAAATATAACTTTACTTGTAGGGCCTACCGCATTTTAGTACTGTGTTAAGCCTTTTGCGCTCGTAAGCCTCGTATTCAACTTTTCCGCTTAGTAATGTGCGTATTTGTATGACTTGTATAGCCCCAGCGAGTTAACGCTCCGCAGAGCGTCTTGTTGTTTATGTATATCCGCGTTTGTTGTATCCGCGTTTTTCATATCCAGAAGGATAAAACGCGGATATGGTCCAAAAAACGTTTTTCAGCCCTTTTTAATTTTTAAGTCATATCCGCGTTTTATCTAAAAGGATAAAACGCGAATATGGTCAAAAGAACGTTTTATAAGGGCATATCTATATATAAAGAATATTGAATATTGTCCTAGAATTTGAACTAATAAAAATCAATGTCTCTTCGCTTAAATACTCACTGCGAGGTAAGAGTTCTAAAATTACAATTTAGTGTTAATAAAGATTAAATTTAGTGTCAGTTATCTGGTATGTAGTACTCCAATTTTATGCCAACGTAATGTGCTGTTTTTCAAAGGCTTTTCAATGCAGTTATCGGTTTAAATACAATTCCCGTTAAAGGTGATCTACAGTCCGTATGTAAACAAAGCCTTTGTTTACATTTTTGTGTCCAAAATATTGAGCTTTATTCGACAACTATTTATATTTTCAAGCTTCTAGAGTATAATAAATTATCAAGAAACAACAATCAGGCTTTTCAAGAACTCAAAACATAGTTAAACTGTTTGTATCATAAAAAGTGGGCTCATTTGTGCACATGCGCAGATTGGACTGTAGATCACCTTTAAGATATGACAATTTCCGTACGGTCTACTTACGTAAACACAAATTACAATTGAATTGCAACTTTCATGCTTAATTTTCTCTTTTATCTGGGTACGTAATAATCCAATTTTATGCCATTGTGATGTGCTGTTTTTCAAGGACTTTTCAATGCAGTTATCGGTTTAAATAGATCTAAAATTCTCGTTAGAATAAGACAATTTCCGTATACGGCCTACTTTTACGCATATATATACGCATGCAAATTAGCTATACAATTGCAACTTTCATGCTTAATTTTCTCTGTTATCTGGGTATGTAGCAGCCTAGGTCCCAGGCTCTCTCTCTCTCTATTCGCTGCTTTGATATATTTAAATAAGTCTGAAAAGTTTTATGCCTGGGTGTGCTGTGCGGAACGCTTCAGCGAGAGAGCCTAGCAGATTTCGGTAAGATGGTCCCTGATTTCAAAAAAGTGGTCCCTGGCCTGGTTACCAAGCATACCGTATTTGTAAATAGAAAATGTTATGGAAATTTCCCTTGCGTTTATAATTAAGTCATTAGTTTCGCTCTAATGCTGTCGGAACAATGAAATAGGCTACGTTTCGCTACCATACGGTCAGAATGGAATAACGGGCTAAATATGACTCGTGTTTACTAAAATATAAAGCCATATTAACTGCTATCTAGAAGCTTGAAAATTATGCCGAGTCTTCGACTAAAAATGTTTTGACAACACAGTCATGTCAGGCAAATATTTCCAATCTCCTCAGCTACTTAAACCTGTCAAGTAGAAAGCGTAGTTGTGTATACCAGTATGGTCTAGTGTTGATCACAACTTGCGAGTATATATATAAATAACATCAACGATTATACGACCATTGCTCAGACTCAGTATCGTAAATTTGTATATATATTTTTTAATTGAGCACATTTTTAATACAGTTTGAATTTGGTTATGTAGACATCGAACGTGATCAACGAACATTGTCGTATTTACAAGATTATTTGTATATATAAATTTTCCGCCATATTAAATATACTGAAATCTGCTAGGCGTTCTGAAGCACCTTTAGCGGTGACGTCACACCTAGGTCCCAGTCTCGTACTACATCCACTTTTTTTTCTCGCGCTTGCTTCAGAACGACTGGGACTA